TCCTTCCTCCCAACCTTGTTTTTGGAAACTTTTGCTGCTTGAAAACCAGATTCCTGCAGTCAAGGCCGAGCGCTCTCCCCGCAGGGCTGACCCCCGCGGCAAAGCTCGCCTGGAATGCGTGTCGCAACCGGCCTAGCTCGAAGCGCGCGGCCCCCGGTTCCTCAACAGCAGGACAGGCTCGTTTGCAAGCAGCCCCCGACCCCAGCAGCGCTGGGGCCAGGCGGAGCAAGGCACCGCAGCTGCAAAGGCGAGATGCGTCAGCCCTGTCCGAACCAGCCCAGACAAACCCATTGCCCAGCCTCTGAGCAAAACGACTGTCGCCCCTGACACTGCACCAGGGAAAGCAGGGGGACCACCTCACCCAAAATCCTGCTGCTGCCAAGGCTGTTCATAGATGCTCGAGAGATCCCCTGCTACAGAGGAAGGCAACCCCCCCCCCCAAGTCCACACCACAATCCAAAACTCAGCCTTTCCCTGGTGAGAACCTGCTTTGTCGGACAATTTCTACCTGTAACACGGCTGCTTTGCAAGCCATCTGGAGGTCCCTGCCGGGTGGTGGGGGGAAAGCCCCACTCTTTGAGGACAGGGGCTGACTTAGCCCCCCTTTCATTGTAAAACCTGTCATGTTTCAATCCCACTCCAGTGCAATGGGGGAGGAAAGGATTTGCTCTTCCGTTTCCAAATGGACTTGGTGGGACGCCCGGTTGGCTGTCATAAAATAGTCATTTTTAAAACTGAAACAGGAATGGCAGATTGCTTTTCTCTAAACAGATTGCTTTGAGTGACCCCAACCAAGCCGGTTTCTTTTCCCAAGTCCTGTGCTGTGGGAGATGCCCACAGCTCTCATTTCGTTTTCCAACTCGGAACGAGAACGCGTCCCAAAGGGCTGCACTTTCCCACCAGTGAGACATGCCCGGCTCCCCCGCTGCCCCTTATGACAACAGGGGGAAACTGAGGCACAGAGACAAGCGAGTTGTCCCAGGACATGGGCAATAACAGCAGGGCTGTTTCCCCTATGACTGATCTGCAGGATGTGAATGCACAAAACATCCGCGAGCGAAATGTGCCGGTCTTAGCCCGTGCAAACACCTCTCCCAGGCTGCCGGGTTGGCAGATGTTTCACCCCAGAGGCAGGCGCATGCTCATGCTGGGTGAGCCACATCTGTGCAAACTCAACTGCAGGCGGGGACGCAGAACCACGGCGAAAGGATGCCTGAAAATGAGCGGGACCTGCTGGCAGACTCTGACCAAACCTGGCTAATTCACCCGCTACGAGACGGCCTCTGCCATCCACCCACACCGCTGAGGCTTCGTCCACGCTGTCCCCTATCCATCCTATCCTCTGGGCTGACAAATGCACCCTTCTGCTTGCAGGAAGGTCCCTGAGGTCACTTGTGGGACTCTCCCAGCCCTGCAGGTGCATATGACATGTGGGTACCGGTGTGATGGAAGGGGATGGGAGAAGGCATGAATGGGATCGGGGAGGGGGGGTGCCCAGGGAGGCTGAAGGGGCTGATGGACCCGTTGCCCTGCAATTATGGCTGGAAGAAAGGGACAGAAGGGTGTGCACGGCGGCACAGGGGGGGATAGATAGAAAACTAAGCCTTGGTAGCATAGCAGGATCCGATTTGAGTCCAGCTAGACGCATCCATTGTCATCAGTGAGATAAATATGAGTGGGAAACTGTCATTACAGGGGAAGGGAAGATATCAGCCAGCTCTGGGAGGCAGCCAGGTCAGCCTCCCAGCCGGGGCAGCAATCAGCAAGCCTCTTCCCCAGCCCATCTGCTCGGTGCAAAGCACGAGGCTATGGATCCTGACGTCACGAGGGATAAGGGCTGGGAAGAGCTAGGCAGGGGGGTGTCCAGCGAAGGGCTGGGGGTAGCGGTGGACCACAACCTGGGTCTGAGCCAACAGTGTGCAACACCCCCCCACCCAATAGCATCCAGGGCTGTAATAATAGGAGCATCGCCTGGAAATGCGGGGCAGTGATTTTCATTTCCCCCCTCCGTTCAGCCCCGGGGAGGCCTCCCCTGCAGCGCCGCGTCCAGTCTGGGGCCCCGCACTTGAAAGGAAGACGTGGACAGATTGGAAAGAGTCCAGCGGCGAGCGACAGAAATGATTGGAGGCCTGGGAAGGAGAATTGCGCTGCAAGCGCCGGGATTGATTAGTCTGGAGGAGAAAAGGCCGAGGGGGGATTGGGTGACAGCCTCTGAATACAAAAAGGGAGATTTCAAAGAGGACGGAGATGGATTGTTCCCTGTCTCCGCGGGGAGGAAGGAACGGGCTGCAATTGCAGCAAGAGAGACGGAGGGTGGGGGTTCGGGTGCTTCAGGATGGGGAATGGGGTTCCCAGGGGGGCACTTGTCAGACAGGGATGGTCCTGGCCCCCCAGTGCAGGATGGACCCCAGAGGGCCCCTGGTTTGGAGTCCATGGCTGGAACGGGGGCAGGGGCATGGGCACAGCCGGGGAGGGGGCTGGAGCTGTGACATGGAGCCAGGGCAGGGTTTAGGTGCATGCCTTGTGCTCGCCCTGGCTGTGCCCACACCGCTGGTCTACGCCAATGCCCTGCTCCGAGTATTAGCACAGCTGGGCCCCACCCCAGCCGCTGCCAGCAGGGTCCCGGGACAGCGCGCCAGACTCCTGTCTACACTAGGGCTGGTAGGGCTAGCAGCACTGGTAGGGCTGCGTCCGGCACCCCCTCCCTCCCTCTCCGTTTGGAGCAAACCCTGCACAACCTCTCTGCTGATGTCCCGAGCCAGCTTTTGTTACAGCTGGGCGGTAAAACCAGCATTCAGTCCGTGTCGGCGAGCGGGGTAGGGGGAGACACCAGGCAGGTGCGGGGCACTGCTGCTTCCTGAGGGTCTGCGGTGAAGCTCACCGGGGAGGACCCCCCTCCCCAGACCGCAGGCTTCAGGACAGCGTTGCTTTAATGACCAGGCCGTCATTGCCCAGCCCTCCCCCGCAGCCAGCCATGAAACCCTCCAACCCGGTTTCACTCCGGTTTGTAGAGGTGGCGAAGGACACACCGCTGTGAAAGCAGCCCCGGGAGCTGGCATCGTGCCTTCCTCGCGGGTTGTCGTGCCCCCTGCGACCTGCCTTGGCATGGATGTGGGGCCTGGTTCTGTTCTGACTTTGAGCAGGGTGGAGGATGAGCCACCACCCGGACCTCAAAGGCGCTGGGAATGACCCCGAGTGCCCCGCTAGTAACCACAGCCCAGAAACCCGGGACACTGGGAACCGCTGCCCTCTCACCAGCCCTGGGTGAATGCACGGCGGGTGTGGGGTCTCCCATCACAGGCAGCTCAGCTTCCCTCCCTGCCAGCTGGACCGTGGCTGCTGCAGTGAGGCGCCCGGTGCCAGCTGCTCCCCGCTCTCGGGGGCTGCTCCCATGCCAGATCCTCCACAAACCGGACCTGGTGGACCCCCGCTTTGTCTCCCCCCCCTCCCATGCCTGCGATGCATCGAGACAAGGAGCCTCCTGCTCCAGTTTTCCCCGGGGAGGTGATGCCAGGGGAGATGGTACAGGCCATTTCAGCTGCACACACATTGCAAGAGCACCCCGCTGCCTTTGCAAGCAGGGATGGATCCGGGATGGGAGGGGGCTGACACTGGGAAAGAGCTGGGATCGCTCCCCTCCACAGAGCCCCTGGGGGTTGGCTATGAAAGAGCCCAGTGCCTCCAGCTCCAATCGCTCCCTCCCCAAAGCCTCCAGAGCATGGTTAGGAAAGAGCTCGGTCCCTCCATCTCCTACCTCTCCTGCCCTAAAGCTCTTGAGGGGTGGTGGAAAAGAGCCCGGTCTCTCCAGCTCCCATGTCCCCTTCCCCAAAGTCCCTGGGGGTGTGTCTGGGAACAAGCCCGGTCCGCCCCGGCTCCCACATCCCCTTCCCCAAAGCCCCTGGGGGTGGCTAGGAAAAAGCCCAGTCCCCCCAGCTCCTATGCCCCTTCCCCAGAGCTCCTGGAGGATGGCAAGGAAAGCCTGGTCCCTGCAGCTCCCATGACACAAAAGCCCCCAGCTCCCGCATCCCCTTCCCCAAAGCCCCTGGGGGGTGGCTGGAAAAAGCCCAGTTCCCCCAGCTCCAACCACCTCCTTCCCAAAGCCTCTGGGGGGTGGCTGGAAAACAGCCCAGTCCTCCTAGCTCCTGTGTCCCCTTCCCCAAAGCCCTTAAGGGATATTTAGCAAAGAGCCGGGTCCCTGCAGCCCCCATGTCCCTTCCGCAAAGCCTTTAAGGGATGCCTAGGAAAGAGCCCAGTCCTTGCAGCTCCTGTGCCGCTCCCCCAAAGCCCTTAAGGGATGTCTAGCAAGGAGCCGGGTCCCTGCAGCCCCCATGTCCCTTCCCCAAAGCCCTTAAGGGATGTCTAGCAAAGAGCCGGGTCCCTGCAGCCCCCATGTCCCTTCCCCAAAGCCCTTAAGGGATGTCTAGCAAAGAGCCGGGTCCCTGCAGCCCCCATGTCCCTTCCCCAAAGCCCTTAAGGGATGTCTAGCAAAGAGCCGGGTCCCTGCAGCCCCCATGTCCCTTCCCCAAAGCCCTTAAGGGATGTCTAGCAAAGAGCCGGGTCCCTGCAGCCCCCATGTCCCTTCCCCAAAGCCCTTAAGGGATGTCTAGCAAAGAGCCGGGTCCCTGCAGCCCCCATGTCCCTTCCCCAAAGCCCTTAAGGGATGTCTAGCAAAGAGCCGGGTCCCTGCAGCCCCCATGTCCCTTCCCCAAAGCCCTTAAGGGATGTCTAGCAAAGAGCCGGGTCCCTGCAGCCCCCATGTCCCTTCCCCAAAGCCCTTAAGGGATGTCTAGCAAAGAGCCGGGTCCCTGCAGCCCCCATGTCCCTTCCCCAAAGCCCTTAAGGGATGTCTAGCAAAGAGCCGGGTCCCTGCAGCTCCCATGTCCCTTTTAAGGGATGGCCAGGAAAGAGCCGGGTCCCTGCAGCCCCCATGTCCCCTTCCCCAAAGCCCTTAAGGGATGCCTAGCAAAGAGCCGGGTCCGCTTAGCCCCGCCGGGCCCTACCGATAGTGGTGATGACGGTGATGGCGAAGTAGAAGGAGCCGGCGAACCTCCCCTGCCCGC